GCATATAGGAAAATGAAGTTGTGAACCTTCATAACAGTATCTAACTTTGGAATCTTCAAACTGAAACCTCAATTAGCCATTAATCAGAGAGAAGATGCTTAGTCATATGTTCAAGTTTTTAAAAAATCTATCATCTATAAGCACAGGTCGGATCACAGTGTTCTCCAAATGTAAAATACTAAAGAAAGAGGCTTATTTTTCTCACTGAGATCATTAGAAAAATGAGAGTGGAACCTGATTTACCTCTACTCCCCAGGAAACTGATGACAATTAATTCCTATTGAGTTAATATTCTAAGATTTACCAAGGAGCAGGTCAATGTCACCAGAGAATGTTACACATTTGTCAAAGCAAAGAAAGCTACAGATTCACAACTCAGTTTTTGGCCTCAAATGCAATTTTCTCCCTCTGTTTTCAGATCCACTCCTCCCTTCAACACCAGAGCTGCAGGCTGCTCTCTAAATAACACCGTGTCCCTGGCCTCCTAGCTCCCATTTGAACATTTTGGCAGGGCTCCTTTGAGGTCTGCCCCCCACCGTCTCCCCTCTCCAGGCTTGTCTTCGTTTGTCTGAGTCAGCCGTGAGTCACCTCACTCATTAATGGAACTCAGAATGCCTCTCCATTCTCTGGATCCCTTTCGTCTCCCTTCTTGTAACTGGTTTTCTGGCAGCATCAGGTCTGTGGACAACCTTGAAGGTATGGGCTGGGTCACTATTAAAATGGTCTGCTCTGTGAAGATGTTGGCAGACAGCAAGTAGAACTAAAAATGATGATAATGACAATAATAATGATGGTGCACACAGTTTCTTCAGATGCACTTTAACGGCCAGATTTGGTACCTTTGCCTGTGTCAGCTCATTGGACAGCACAGGGATCCTTAATTCTTGGTCTCTTCTTTCTCTTCCTTGTCTCTTCTTTCCCTCCTCACCACCACTTCCTCCACACACATGCCCATATGGTACAAGGTGAAAGCTTAGAGACTCCACTCACTGGAAAGGCAGATAAAAGAGCAATGTCTTTACATTGGTGGGCATTCTTTTCTCTAGCATTTTCAGACTTGCTCTCATTTCTACTCATTCTATTTTACATTCCCACTTCTTTCCTTTTTGTGAGAGGTAGACCAGAGAGGACAAAAGAGAAGGATTTATGCCTTGATGGTGCCTCCTGGGCATATAAAGAAGCCTAGTGAAATGATACTGATAATAAACTCTGAATTCACTGTAGAAAACTTCAACACCAAAACACCAGTATTAATTCATTAATCTTACTTAAAGCCCTTTGTAAAATGGTTGATACTTCACTCAACTGGATAGTGACTAGTTTTCAGTAAATCAGATGATTTACGAAACTATTTTTTTTTTTTTTTTTTGCGGTACGCGGGCCTCTCACTGTTGTGGCCTCTCCCGTTGCGGAGCACAGGCTCCGGATGCGCAGGCTCAGCGGCCATGGCTCACGGACCTAGCCGCTCCGCGGCATGTGGGATCTTCCCGGACTGGGGCACGAACCCGTGTCCCCTGCATCGGCAGGCGGACTCTCAACCACTGCACCACCAGTGAAGCCCAGATGATTTACTTTTGTAAGGGACTGCAGAGATCACCCTGTCCAGTCTTTCATTCAGTGGGCATGCATTTACTGAGCACCTGCAATGAGCATACCCTGAGCCACGTCCCCCAGGGCAATGCTTTTCAAGCTTCACTGTGTGTGTTTGTTACCCGGGAAACTTGCTAAAATGCAGATTCTGATTCAAGATGCCTGGAGTCAGGGCTCGAGGTTCGGCATTTCCGTAAGCTCCCTGGAGATATCCCTGCTGCTGCCCACAAACCACAGTTTGAGGAGCAAGACTACAGGGCTCTTCATAGAGCCAGACAAGGCTTGACTCTGTCCCTGAGGAACATCGGGGGCCCACAGGCTCTGGGATGCTGCCCTATGAATTCCTTCTCCTCAGCTGCTGATAATTATCTGTGAGGCCCAGACAATGCTGATCTGTTCTTCCCAATGCTTTTGGCTTTCTCATGTCTTCACTCCCTGTGGAAGGTATTAAAATTGCAAAACTCAAATTGGGATTAGGGCAAGGAAAAGGCTCATTTATTTATTATAAATTTATTTGTTTTATTTATTTATTTTTGGCTGTGTTGAGTCTTTGTTGCTACGTGTGGGCTTTCTCTACTTGCAGCAAGCGGGGGCTACTCTTCGTTGCGGTGCCTGGGCTTTTCATCGTGGTGGCTTCTCTTGTTGTGGAGCATGGGCTCTAGGACCTCGGGCTTCAGTAGTTGTAGCATGCAGGCTCAGCAGTTGTGGCTTGTGGGCTCTAGAGCTCAGGCTCAGTAGTTGTGGTACATGGGCTTAGTGGCTCTGCAGCATGTGGGATCTTCCCGGACCAGGGCTCGAACTCGTGTCCCCTGCATTGGCAGGCTGATTCTTAACCACTGCACCACCAGGGAAGTCCAAGGCCCATTTATTTATTTATTATAAATTTATTTATTTTATTTATTTATTTTTGGCTGCACTGAGTCTCTGTTGCTGTGCACGCGGGCTTTCTCTAGTTGTGGTGAGCGGGGGCTACTCTTTGTTGCAGTGCACAGGCTTCTCGTTGCAGTGGCTTCTCTTGTTGCGGACCATGGGCTCTGGGCACGCGGGCTTCAGTAGTTGTGGCTCGCGGGCTCTAGAGCGCAGGCTCAGTAGTTGTAGTGCACTGGCTTAGTTGCTCTGCAGCATGTGGGATCTTCCCAGACCAGGGCTCGAACCCATGTCCCCTGCGTTGGCAGGCAGGTTCTTAACCACTGCACCACCAGGGAAGCCCCAAGGCCCATTTATCTTTAACCTTTGTTCTGAAATCTATTCTAGGCCATTTTACCAGCGATCTCTGAACTCACATTTTAAGCAGAGCCTGATTAACAATAAAGTATTTCTTTGATTACTACAGAGATATCCTTTTATGATTTGTTAGTTTGTATACTTTGCCAATTTTTCTATTAGGGTCTTTGTCTTTTAATTATTGAGTTGTGATAGCTCTTTATTAAAATATTAAGGAGGATCTCTTTGCCCCTAATAAAGGATTTTTTTGTCTTTTAATTTTGTCTATTCATTTTGGAGTTAAGAATCTTAAAAAAAAAAAAAAAGAATCTTAGACTCTAGGTTAACATTAATTTTCTTGCTTATCTGAGCAAGCCCCTTTACCTGTTATGACATGGTTCCTTTACCTGTAAATGGAGACAATAAAGACTACATATTGAGTATATGTTGAGTATAGAACTGTTGAGTATGAAAAGGAAATACATGTGGGATGATGCTATACAATCACAGGACATGGTTACTTTGGTTTCAGAGTTTTTATTAATCTGATAGTATTATGAACCTAGAGTGGGACATAGCTGACTGATGTTAACAAGTACCAGTTTTGTTTGTTTCATTTTGTTTTTCTTTTAGTTTCGTTTTGGTTAAACAAACAGTTGTTGAGCACTTACAAGTACTCTGAGTGCTGTTCTAGGTTTTAGTAATACGAACATACATAGAGTTAGAAGCTGCCTATTAACAACTTCATATGTGTAAAAGTGCTTATGATTTCTGTTTTCCTTTTGCCTCCTCAACTGCAACTTTCTAAGTTGTCAACAGATGAGATCTTCTACCACTCTTAACACGTCCAATTAAGAAACTACCTCAGTACTGAGGCAAATGACCCAGTTGTTCCTTGGTCTCTACATTAACTGTCTCATGTCTACTAGGACGTTATACTTGTTAAAATTATTTATTTATATAGTAGAAATTATGAGTGATAGTATTCCAATTCAGACTGTTAGGTTTTTGTCTAGCTTAAAGAACAGAAAACGTGTACTTCCACCCTCATCTATGATGTTTAATGCCTTTAAGTTCTCTCCATTACTGCCTGAAAAAAAAAAAAAGACAGACAAGAGAGAAAGAATATAATGAACGATTAATAGTAAAATACAAATAGAAATGTCTGAAGACAATGTCTTTTGCCTCTAGTTGGTGTTTGTTTTTTGATACAGTCAAAGGAAAGAAACTCTAACAGCAAAATTTTAACTATCATCCAGATAGAGCATACTCCCTCACTCCCACTGGTTCCCCCTATATTCTTCCTACACATAATCTGCCTTATGAGTCTCTACATTGAGCATAGATAAAACAAAGGGTCAATATTATTGAATCCCATCCATTCGCCAAGCACTGTGCTAAGTGCTTTCACATACATTTTCTCATCTAATGGATCTTTTACTTTCTTACTGCAGGGGAGAAGGTGAGATTGTGCCTTTGCTTTGCTACTTCCTCTTCCTAGTGTCCTTACTCTTCTGTGTAAGCCTTACACTGCAAGCAAGGGAACGCAGTTTGAAGCAAAATCCATTCTTTTTTTTCATTTCATCCAGGTCCACAGCAAAAAGTTGACTGGTTTCTCATTTCTGGGAGATGAGAGATGTGTTGATTTAGGAAAAAATGAATGGAACAGGGCTGAGGTCTAAATGCTCTTTTACATACATGGGTGGGCACCTACCTCTGATGAGAAGTCTCTCTTTTTCTGGCTTCTTTCCGAGATAATCCATTGAACTCTCCGAGCAAAAGCATCGTTTACATCCAACTCCTCCTTTGATTTATTTCTTTATATATGAACACAGGTTCCTTACCACTTCCTTCACCCACCCATGACCCACCAAAAACAAAAAGAGAAAAAAAGAAAATCTCTCCTGCAGAAACATGACAGATCTTATCTATTCCTGAGATTAACTGCCATTTTCTCCTCTTACCACGATTCCAAATTTTGGACTCCACTAATGAAAACATAGCCTGTGACATTGCATAACCAGTGAGAAAGGAATCTTCCCTCGGTAATGAGAGAAGGGCTGAGTCACTATCTCAGCTCTTAGGAATGGCTCTCCAGCTGCTGACTGAGGCCACAAGGGTTCAGCCACAAGGCCGGCAGGGACCTCCCCAGTGACTAACAAAAAAGAGGCAACCAGAACTAGCCAGAGTGAACTGGGGCAACTGACCCATTTGTAGATGTACCCCCAAGGACAGTGGCCAGCAGTCCAAGTCGCAGTGTCCTGGCAGTGTAGCAAATGCCTGATCCGATCTGATGGATGAATGATGCCCAACAACAGAAGACTCTGGAAAAGGATACTTGTAATTAGCATGGGGTGGCATTTTTATTCCAGAGACTTAGTCTTTATTCTTTCACATATACAACAGACATTTGAGTGAATATATTAGGCACTGAACTAGAGGTTGGCATATTCCTTGCCCTCAGGAAGTTGACAGTTCAGCAGAAAGGGAGTAAATATAGGAGCTCTAAGAGAACATAGAAGAGGCACTTAAGATTTGACAGTTGGAAAAGCTTCCCCAAGAATGTGAACGGTTTATGGGGGGTGGGGTGGGGCATGGAGAATGGACACTCCAGGTGAAGGAGGAAACAGTGCAAAGTCACAGAGGCAAGAGAGAACAGGTGGTTCATTGGAGAAGGTAAGTGGTTTGGTGTGGCCAAGATCCGAATATGCCCCTGGGAAGGGGCAAGAGATGATCCTGGAGAGGTGAGCAGGGGTCAGATTAAAGGTGTAATCTTGTATGTATGTAAGAGGGTCTGAGTTCTATCCTGAGGGCAATGGGAACCACTGACTTTCTGTGGGAGAAGGACGTGTCAGATCTGTTTTTTTAGGAAGTTTTCTCACTGGTTGTAATGTGGAGATTGGATGTAAGGAAAGCAAGCATAGAAGTAGGAGGACCAGGTTGGAGGATCTTGCAGTAATTGAAGAAGAAAATAATGTGGGCCTGAACTATAGCAGAGGCAATAGGGATGCAAGAAAGATGAGGTTGAGTGATACAAAAGTAGTTACCAACTGACCTTGGTGATTAGCCACAGGTGGGGCCTGTAGAGCTCAGAATGACTTTCACCTTTAGTGGGTGGGGAGAGATGATGGGAGCAGAAGGCTTGCTAGAAGGAGATGATGAGTTCAGGTTGAAGCAGAAACCCAGGATGGAAACCCTGCCATTGACCTGAATATCAGTGTTGGAAGGTCAGGGCAACTCAGTAGCATTCAGGACTCCCCACGTATACTCCAAAGGAGACTTAAGGACAATTCCAGACCCCACCAGCTAGAGAGGATGGGCCTCCTAGTACAAGTTCCTCCTTAGAAGCCTGGCTTATTAAGACTGAATCTGTGCAGGACTGGGGCTGCAGATGAGAGGTCTTCAGAACCTGCAGCCAAACAGGGCCTGACAAGCTGTTTCCATGGAGACACGGTGTGTGCAGGAGGGAGTGAGTAGGAGGGCTGATCCATTCCAGAGCCTTGGGTCACAAGGCTGCAGTGGCCTGACAGATAAACAGGAAAAAGACATAGTCAATCAGAAAAGGATGTTCAAAACTATTGGCAGTTAGTTGGGGTTATATCATCATAATTCTAGATTAATTCTAACAATTTAGAAGGATTAAGCCACTTAATGATCCTGCTAGTTATTTCAGGTACCACTTAATGAGGGTACACAGAAGTGGATGCCAACTCAGACTAACTCCAAATGTCAATACACCCTTCTTAAGCCTTTCTGCACCCCTGGACTCTAAGTAGCTACAGATTATTTCCAAGTTTCTGGGGAAACAGGCAGAGATATGGGAAGTTAATTTTTTTTCCGTTTGCCATGCTGTTGGCAGTAATACTCAGGAAATCTTTGGAGCTCTTCAGGAACCTCAGGTGCTGGCAAAGCCTCAGATTAGATGTTATTATTAAACAATTTGAGGAACATTCTGGACAGAGAGCCAGCAGCAGTGGGGCCCCAAGGGGTGTGTATGTGTGTGTGTGTGTGTGTGTGTGTGTGTGTGTGTGGTAGAATATACATAACATGAAATTGACTATTGTGACCTTTTTTTTTTGTGTGGTACGCAAAGTCTTTTTGACTATAGCTATCCTAGTGGGTATTAAGAGGTATCTCATTTTAGTTTTAGTTTAGTTTAGTTTTGTTTTGTTTTTGCGGTACGTGGGCCTCTCACTGTTGTGGCCTCTCCCGTTGCGGAGCACAGGCTCCAGATGCGCAGGCTCAGTGGCCATGGCTCACGGGCCTAGCCGCTCCGTGGCATGTGGGATCTTCCCGGACCGGGGCACGAACCCGTGTCCCCTGCATCGGCAGGCGGACTCTCAACCACTGTGCCACCAGGGAAGCCCTCATTTTAGTTTTGATTTGTATTTCCCCGACAGCTAATGATGTTAAGCACCTGTTCATGTGCTTATTGACTGGCCTTTTGTATATCTTCCTTGAAGGAATGTTTATTCAAATTCTTTGTCCATTTTATTTTTAGGGTATCAAATGTGATTGGCTTTAATTGTTTTTATAAGCAATTTAGGGTCTTCAGGGTATATCCATTTTGGGAGGAAACCAGGTTGCTTTTGTAGGGCATGCCTGGTGTTGTCCTAAGATTGGTTCACATGGCTTTATTTACTTATTTGTTTTTTAAAATTTTTACTGGAGTATAGTTGATTTTCAATGTTGTGTTAGTTTCAGGGGTGTGTGTGTGTGTGTGTGTGTGTGTGTGTGTATATATCTCCATTCTTTTTCAGATTCGTTTCCCATATAGGTTATTACAGAATATTGTGCTATACGGTAGGTCCTTGTTAGTTATCTATTTTATATATAGTAGTGTGTATATGTTAATCCCAATCTCCTAATTTATCACTTCCCCCATGTTCCCCTTTTGGTAACCGTAAGTTTGATTTCAAGATGTGTGAGTCTGTTTTGTAAAAAGTTCATTTATATCATTTTTTATTAGATTCCACATAGAAGTGATATCATATGATATTTGTCTTTCTGTCTGACTTACTTCACTTAGTATAGTAATCTCTAGGTCCATCCATGTTGCTGCAAATGGCATTATTTCGTTCTTTTTTATGGCTGAGTAATTCCATTGTATATATGTGCCACATCTTCTTTATCCATTCATCTGTCGATGGACATTTAGGCTGCTTCCATGTCTTGGCTGTTGTAAACAGTGCTGCAGTGAACACTGGGGTGCACGTATCTTTTTGAATTATAGTTTTCTCTGGATATATGCCCAGGAGTGGGATTGCTGGATCATATGGTAGTCCTGTATTTAGTTTTTTAAGGAACTTCCATACTGTTCTCCATAATGGTTATACCAATTTACATTCCCATCAACAGGGTAGGAGTGTTCCCTGTCCATTTTAAAATTGGGTTATTTGTCTTATTATTGAGTTGTAAGTGTTCTTTCTATATTTCTAGACATAATCTATTTTTTCTTTCGTTACCTATGCCTTTGGTATTATATCCAAGAGATCACTGCCAAATCCAATGTTGTAAAGCTCTGTCCTGTTTTCTTCTAAGTGTATAGTCACTTTTATATGTTGCTGGATTCAGTTTGCTAGTATAATGTTGACAATTTTTATTCATAAGAGATATTTTTCTGTACTTTTCCTGTGATGTCTGGCTTTGGAATCAGGGTAACACCAGCCTCAAAGAATGAGTTGGAAGTGTTATTTCCTCTTCTATTTTTTGGAAGAGTTTGTGAAAATTTTGTATTATTTCTTTAAATTTTGGTAAAATTCAACAGTGACCTCATCTGGGCCTAACCTATTCTTTGTGGGAAGTCTTAAATTCCCAACTCAATCAATTTATTTGTTACAGGTTTATTATGATTTTCTGTTCTTCTTGCATAGTTTGTGTAGTTTTTTTTTTTTAATTAATTGATTTATTTTTGGCTGCACTGGGTCTTCGCTGCTGGCACAGGCTTTTCTCTAGTTGAGTGGAGCGGGGGCTACTCTTCGTTGCAGTGCACAGCTTCTCATTGTGGCGGCTTCTCTTGTTGCGGAGCACAGGCTCAAGGCACGCGGGCTTCAGTAGTTGTGGCTCATGGGCTCCAGAGCACAGGCTCAGTAGTTGTGGCGCATGGGCTTAGTTGCTCCGCGGCATGTGGAATCTTCTGGACCAGGGCTCAAACCCGTGTCCCCTACATTGGCAGGTAGATTCTTAACCACTGTACCACCAGAGAAGTCTGTAGTTTCTGTCTTTCAAAGAATTGGTCCATTTTATCCAAGTTATCTAATTTATTGGCATACAATTATTGATAGTATTCGCTTTTTTATTCTTTTTATTTTTGTGGAGTTGGTAGTAGTGTCTTCTTTTATTTCTGATTTTAGTAATTTGAATCTTCTCTCTTTTGTTTCTTGGTCAGTCTAGCTAAAGGTTTGTCATTTTGTAGATCTTTTCAAAGAAGCAGCTTTTGGTTTTGTTCATTTTCTCTATTGTTTTTCCTATCCTTTGTTCCATTAATTTCCACTCTAATCTATTTCCTTCCATCTGCTTGATTTGGGTTTAGTTTGCTCTTCTTTTTCTAGTTTCTGAAAATGGAAGAATAGGTTATTGATTTGAGATCTTTTTCTTTTTTCTTCAATACAGGCATCTACAGCTATAAATTTCTTTCTAGATACTACTTTGGTACATTCCATAAATTTTGGTATGTTTTGCTTCCATTTTCATTCATCTCAAAGTATGTTCTAATTTCCTTTGTAACTTCTTTTTTGACCTATCAGTTATTTAGGAGTGAAGTGTTTAATATCCACATATTTGTGAATTTACCAAATTTCCTTGTCTTAACTGATTCTAATTTATTTCCATTGTGGTCAGAAGTCATGTTTTGTATAACTTCAAATCTTTTAAATTTATTAGGGCTTGTCTTATAATCTAGAATATAACCTGTTCTGGAGAATAGTCCATATTCATCTCAGAAGAATGTGTATTTGGCTGTTGGTGGTTGGAGCATTTTATAGATGTCTGTTAGGTCTAACTGGTTTATAGTTTTGTTACAAACTGAATAATACACTGTCATAATTATTCATTAATATAATCTTATGTCATTTTTTAAGGTTGAGAAAAGAAAGGAAAGCAAGTTACATTTAGAGTTTTTTATATCACCTTCTTATTTACCAATTTTGGCTCTCTTCGTTTGTTCCTGCAGATTTGAGTTACCGTCTTGTAACTCATTTCTTATTTCACTACAGCTTTGTTCCCACCCACCTCCATTGTGCTGTCATTTTCAAACATGTTCTTTTATAGAACTGCTTTCTAGATCATTTAAGAGAAAAAAGGGAGAAAAATATATATTGATATACTGTCTTTTATAATTGTATAATTATATTTACTAGTGCTCTTTGTTTTTTTGTGTGGATTTGAGTCAGCTTGAAGAACTTCCTTGTTTCTTGTAACTCTAGCTAAGAGTGAATTCTCTCAGAGTTTGTTTATCTAGGATTGTCTGTTTCACTTTTATTTTTGAGAAATAGTTTACTGGATAAAAGATTCCTATTTGACAGGGATTTTCCCCTCAGCATTTTGAATATGGCATCTCACTGCTTTCTAGCCTCCATTGTTTCTGGTGAGAAGTCAGTTATTAATCTTATTTGGGTTCCCTTGTTTGTGATGTGTTGGGGTTTTTTCTTGATGTTTTCTAGATATTCACTTTGAACATTTTTACTATGATGTGTCTGATGTGGATCTCTTTGTGTTTATTCTACTTGGGATTAGTTGAGCTTCTTGGATGTGTAGATTAATGTTTTTCATCAAATTTCAGAAGTTTTCAGCCATTATTTCTTTAAATATTTTTCTGCTCCTCTCTTTCTCTTTCTCCTTCTGGTATTCCCATTGTGCATGTGTTGATGTGCTTAATGATTCTCACATTCCTCTGAAGTTCTGTTCATATTTCTTCATCCTCTTTTCTCTCTGTTTTTGAGGTCAAATAATATCTATCTATCTATCATCTATCTTTCTATCTTCAAGTTTGCTGATTCTTTCTTCTACCAGTTCAAATATACTGCTGAGCCCCTCTAGTGAATTTTTTTTTCTATTATCACAGTTTTCAAGTTCAGGATATCCATTAGGTTCTTTTAAAAACAATAATTTCCATCTCTTTATTGATTATCTTATGAGAGATTGTTACCCTACCTTCTTTTGATTCTTTAAGCGTGGTTTTCTTCAGTTCTTTCAATATATTTATGATAGCTGCTTTGAAGTCTTTGTCTGCTAAGTTGGATATCTGGGCCCTCTCACAGGGAGTTTCTGTTGATGGCTTTTTTCCTCCTGTGTATGGGTCACATCATACTTTCCTGTTTCTTTGAATGTCTCATAATTTTTTTGTTGAAAACTGGACATTTTAGATAATATATTGTAGCAGGTCTGGATACTGATCCCCTCATTCTTCTGAACTGTTCAGAATTTGGGTTCTGAACAAGTATGATATGAAGACTAAATTGGAGGTGAATTTGAGGTAAAGGTACTGATCGATCACCCCTGACCAGATGAAAACTTCATAGAGAATCTCTGAGAACCATCTCCCTTATGCACTCCAAGCACAGAATACCAACAGATACTGATAAAAATAAACCACTAAACCAGGTATCAGGAAACAAGGGTACTAAATCTTAGCTCTCTTCTTGGATTTCTAGGTGACGCAGCATAAGCCAGTCAGCCTCTTCTGGGCTCTAGTTCCCTGGAATAGCATATTGTGTTCAAGTATTTGTCTCATCGCTGGTCCGCAAATAGGGCATGTAGTTTAGATTGTATTTATGGTGGAGTGATTTTCACTAAATCTTCCCTATTCTTTTTCCATCCTGCTATTTCCTGTGACTGACATCATGCATCTGGGAAGTATCTGCCTGGGCTTTGAGAGTTATTGCTACTTTGGATTTGTGAACTGCAGATTGAGTCTTGTCTAATAAGCATCATGTTCTAAACACCTTGAACTTGTTGGATGAAGAAAGGAAATCACAAAGTTTATCCCTACCCTCACTAAATGTTTTAATTTGTGAAAGAAAAGGCAGTAGGAAACTTGGAATTTCCGGCTCTGATCTTTTGGTCCTAGTCTACTGTTCCAAGCCAGAATCATGTCTCATCCTCCCCAGGCACTATTATTTTTGGTCACTTAAAATGAAGTTGTTCCTAGACAATTCATCTTCCAGCTATCTTTGGAACAAAGTTTGCCTCCAATAAGATCTTTGCAAGGGCCTGTGGCCCTGACTTACTTTTTACTGACTTCTTAATAAGCCTGCCACAAGCCATTTGAATACCTTGGAGATCAAGATTAGTAAGTCCCATCAGTCATTAAGGTGGTTAAAATTGGTCTCCCTCCAGATATTAGGTTTAACAAGCTCACCCACAGGGCGAGGACTCTTTGGCCAAAAAACCCCAGATCTAAATTGAAAGCGACTGACCAAACCAAGATAGAGCTAGTTTTCTTACTTGCAGCAGCCAAACTATTGTCCTGACTGGTAGGCAGAGTTTTCACAGCACAATAAAGTTGTTAAAAAACATTTGGGGCCCAATAGGGAATCATTGCTTAATGGTTATAGAGTTTTTGTTTTGGATGATGGTAAAGTTTTGGAAAGAGATAGTGGTAACGGTTACACAAAATTATGTATATACTTAATGCCACCGAATTGTACATTTAAAAATGTCAAAATAGGGGCTTTGTTTAGTATTAAGGGTTGGTGAAGATGTGGAGAAATTGGAATCTTCATACATTCCTCGTAGGAATGTAAAATGATACACCACTTTGGAAATCTGTCTGGCAGCTCCTCAAAAGACTATAACATAGAGTTACTATATAACACAGCAACCCCTCTCCTACATATACAACCAAAAGAAATGAAAATATATGTACACACAAAAACTGCACATGAATGGTCATAGCAGCAGTAGTCATAATAGTCTAAAATTAGAAACAGTCTGGAGAAGTTGATTTGCAAACTACGTTCCTGCTTCTCCATTCTTTGGCCATTGAATAAAGATTGTGCTGTTCCAGTCTCAAAAAAAAAAAAAAAAGAGAGAGAGAGAGAGAGAGAAAGAGAGAAAACAACCCAAATGTCTATCAGCTAATGACTGGTTAAATAAAATATGGTATATCCATACAATAGATGTTATTTGGCGATGAAAAGGAATGAAGTACTGCAACATGGATATAAACCTTGAAAACATTATGCTATGTGAAAAAGGCCTGATTCCATTTATATGAAATGTCCAGAAAAGCAAATCTATAGAGATAGAAAATAGAGTAGCAATTGCCTAATTGCTGAGGTGTGATAGGGGAGGTTAGGAGGAAATGGGGAGTGACTGCTAAGGGGTACAAGATTTCTTTTTGGGAGTGACAAAATATTCTAAAATTGATTGTGGTTATGTTTGCACAACTCTAAAAATACTAAAAAATTTTGAGCTGTATACTTTAAATGGGTGAATTGTATAGTATGTGATGTATATCTCAATAAAGCTGTTAGATATATATAGAAAGATGGATGATAGATAGATGGATAAATGGATGGATCAATAGATAGATAGATAAAGGCATTATTAGGACAAGGGATAAAAGAATGCCTAAACCCAGGCTTAGCCCAGGTACCACTGTTAGCCCTGACAGTTGAGTCAATAATAATGTAACATTTTGTTAATCGGGTTGCACCTAAAATGCTAATGCAGAGCTCTCTGTTAAACTGGCCTAGAGATCATAGCCAAGATAGAAGATTTAGGGGGCATTTTTCCTTGCCCTAAGCCCAAACCTGCATCTTGCAATTTTATCACCCTCCACTGGGTGTGTAATAAGAGAGCAGTCCAGAGCATTTGAGAGAATGTAGGATAACCAAATAGCTGAACTTCATGGTGTGAGGGAGAATTGCCCTCCTAACACTGAGGGCACCACGAAGGAGGAAAGAGAGGGAAGGAAAGGGATGGGGGAGAAGAAGGGGGATGCGAAAGGCCCAGTGACCCTACTCACCGTAAATGTGGATCTCTGCCTGCAATTAGAGTACTGTCTCCTCTTGCAGAATAGGAAGGAGAGGATAGAGAGAAGGTTGATGTTCCTGTCCTTGAAGCTTGTAGTCAGAGGAAGATTCCTGACAGAGATACCTATAGAGATGTAGGTAGTGGAGAAGACAGGGTCAAACCAAACCTGAGCAGAATGCCTTGGCGAGTAAGAATGTTTCACAGTTCCATGAAAATTAAAGACCCATTAGAAGAAGCTGAGTAAGATTTTAACCCATAAGGAAATTGCAGAGTTATTAAAGCAATTTGTGTTTTATGGCAAGGTTACAATTGTTGGTATAAACGAAGTGCTTTGCAGATGTTATCAGGTATTTTAGGCAGGGGAAGCCATGCATTTACTGTATTAGTGCCTTGGGTGGTTCTTTTTTCAAAGTCTTCTTCCCTTCTCTTCTGAATGCATTTCTAGTCAGGGTACACTAAAGTTCTGTTCACGAAGAAAAATGAGGATGGAGATGAACTTCAAAACTGTATAGAAGAGATACAACCTAGTGACTTGCTTTATGGTGCATAGTTTTGTAGAAGGAAAATGACCTGCAGTGTCTTTGGTGAAAACAATCCTTTTCCTCTCTGTTTAGCTCCCATAACTGCAACAGTTTGACCTTTCAGTGCAATTAAGCAGCCCAAACCCCAAGGAAGGACACAGGGGTAACAGGAAAGCCAGTTACAGCTGAGAGCAATGATTCTCTGTGCAGACTTCCTGCCCTCCCGTTTTGGGTTGAAACTTTTTCTTCATCCTTTTGAACTTTCTCTTCAGCTGCTTTTCATATGTAACACCTCTATTAGGGTTATGTGACTCTGACCACCAACACTCTTCCTGTGCCACCCACCTCCTTACCCTGGAAAGTCTGGCCTTCCAGAGAGCATCACCTTAGAGTAACTTACATTTCCAATTCAGATCTCCAGTCATCGTTTGTGGTGTCTTATAGAAAGGTGATTTGTTCATGATTCCCTTCTCCTTTGCAAAATTCTAATACATAGAAAGAATCAGAATAATCAGTATAATGAACATCCAATATCTACCATCTAGATCAAACAATTGCTAAAATTTTTCCATATATTCTCCATTTTTCCTTTTTCTTCTTTTTTTTTTGCTGAAGTAATTTAAAGCAAGTTATAGAAACATATATGTTTCCCCCCTAAATATTTCAACATTTATCTCTAAATAATAAACACATCTTTATCAGGTAAATACAATTCCATTCTCACACTTCACATGATTCCTATAATTTCTCAATAGCATGTAATATCCACCCACATTCAAATATTCCCTACTTGTTCCCATAATCTCTTTTTAAAAAACGTGGTAAAATATGCATATTGTAAAATTTTCCATTTTAAGTGTCCAGTTCAGTGGCATTGTGTATTCACAATATTGTGTAATCACCACCACTCTTTCCAGAACCTTTTCGTTATGCCAAACAAACTCTATACCCTTTAAGAATAACTCTCCATTTCCCCCTCCTCCCAAATGACTTTTAAAGATGGTTAATTCAAACATATTTTATTTGGTTGTTATGTTTCTTAAGGCTCCTAATCTAGACCTGTCTCCTCACACCATACCCACATGCATTTTATTTTCATGACATTGACTTCTTTTTTTGGGGGGGGGCGGTTAGAATGCAAGCTTTATTTTTGAATCCCCATTGAAATAAATATGTTAATCTTTGAAAAATATTTGGTTATATGCCACTAAAATTATCCCTAGAGCCCCCGGTGATAGTCGTGCCCCATTCTGGAAAATACTACCATAGGGAATTACTGGAGGTACCCTGGGGAGGTAGGATGAGGCCACTGTTTGTTAAGCAAGGGTCATCTGTGTCCCAGGTAAGCTGCTTGCTGCTGTTCATAATTCTCTGAGCCCCAGACCTACCAGCATATTTGATCTTATCTTTCCTGGCTGGCAACACTTTGGTGGCTCCCTATTCTCTTCTAGATAGAAGAGTAAATGCCTTAACATAACCTACAAGGTCCTTGGGGATCCTGGGATAGGCCTACCATGGCCCCATCAGGCTGGTGAAGAGAGGGAGACAGGAGACAGGGAGGATCCCCTGGAGGAAGTGACATTTGAGCTGAAGTCTAACCGATTTATGGAGAGAACTAGGTGACGGCGGTGAAGAGCTTTTTTAGATAGAAGGAACAGCATGTGCAAATTTCCTGAGGCAGGAAGGAACAATGTGCATGTGAGCACCTGAAAGAGGCACTAGAGGAAGAGTCAGGGAGAGGAGTGTTTCAGGGACCAGACCCTGCCTGCAGTCCCTGGAGGCATCACGAGCAGTGTGATCTTAATGCTGTGCCTTACAAGGAGCCATTTAGAGCTTCAAGAACAGTGACTTCAGTTACTTGAATAACAAATACTTTTTGAACACCTACTTCAGGTGGAGCACGGGGGATTTTAATAGAACAAGACTCTCATGGTCCCTGCCATCAGGAAACTTATATTCTTTTAAAAACAAAAGTTATACATATGCATGGTTTAAAGAAATAACAAGTATTATAAGGTTTTCTATGAAAACAGAAGGCAGTCCACTACCTTTTCCCCCATTTCCACTTTTGCAGAGGCATCCATTTTCAACTCTTTTAGCTGACTGTATTTTGGATTTATCTCCGTTATCTCTAAGTAATCTTTTTTTTTTTTTTTTGAATTTTATTTATTTTTTATACAGCAGGTTCTTATTAGTTATCTATTTTGTACATATTAGTGTATATATGTCAATCCCAATCTCCCAGTTCATCCCACCACCTCCCAACCCCCCCACCCCCCATTGACATTGACTTTTTGACGATTCTGGGCTAATTGTTCTGCAGAATGTCCCACCTGTGGGATTTGTCTGTTTTCTCATGGTGTTGTTAAACTTGTTCTTCTGTCCTCTGTATTTCTTGTAAGCTCAAAGTTAGATCAAGGCTTGATAGGAATCAGGTTAAACATTTTGGTAAGAATTCTTCATAGGGTAATGCTGTATACTTCCTACTGCCTCGTATTAGGCCCTACGTAATGTCTGGTTGTCTGACTACTAATGAAGTTAATACTGCTCACTGGGTGAAGGTGATGACAGCCTATTTAAAAATGGGTTTTTTAAAATGGGAACTTGACTACTTGCACTGTTTTAAAATGATTATCCCTACTTTGAATGTTCAGATAAAGGGGCTCTGAGTTGTTGCCTGGTACCTAGGAGACAGCATTTATCCTGTGTAAAGGATAAGAGGATTAAGACTGAGGCTTTGTCCTCTTTAGGGAGTAGATGCAGGAGTTCATGTTTATCTCTGAGGGAGGTCAATCAGGGCAGAACATTCTGGAATATGAAGTCTAGCAGAGACTGCGCCCAGAAGAAGGTACTCTGAAACTAGTCATTAGCCAGAATTTAACTATGAATAAACAGATCTTTTTGCTAACACTTCTTAAAGACAGTCAGAACATTTTGGGAGTTCAAATACGGAAGACTCTTTTATGGCATTTTAAAATAACTCTCCCTTCACCTTCTATTCTCCCCCGCCCCCCGCCAAAAAAAACCCCACTTTAAACTCTAGAGTAAAAAATTAAGGAAGAGCATTTTCTTTGGATGCAGAATAGACGGATCTTTAGATGTTTCTTGAGTACTGTTTAAATTCTAGAGTGAGGAAAAAGTATGCATCTATTCTCTTTGGTTGATGTTTAACTCTTATCTTTTAGCTACCATAAACTAAATAATCCATTGAAAATATAAGCAACTAGGTTAAAGAATTTCATTATTAAAAATAAGAATTTGGGTTTCTAAGGAAAATGAGTTATTTTTTAAATCTCCAAATAAACACTCTCATTTTACAGCAATTAAGTACCCAAGTCAGTTAAACTTTGCTCAAGGTTGCCCTGTATTTCTGGATACCCAGAGGGTTTTTTCTGTTATTATTGCTTGTTTTTGTTATTTTGTTTTTAAGCTATCACAAAGACAAGGGAGTTGTTGTGAATTTTCTGCATAGCAGGACAGAACTTAACCTTAGGATACTGGACTAACAGTTTTCATTTTACTACTGGAATTAGTAATATCCTTTTTCTCCATTTATACTGTAATTTTCGAAGATTCTGGCTTCCAAGTTACCAGTTGGGTAGGGGATGTGGTAAAGGTCCCTTTGAGGAAATAGTTCTTCCACAATAGCACTGCTGGTGGACCTAGCAACCCTTGCCTGTTACCTCCATTGGGGGTTACTATATTTGGTGATGAATACCTCACCACTAGCTAAAAGAAAAGACAATGTAAACGGTCATCCATTCTTTTCCTTTTCTCTTCTTTTTTTTTCCCTCCTCTTTATACTATCCTCCCTTCTTTTCTCTTCCTTCCTCCTCCTCCTTCTGCCTCTCTCCATGTCCCTCTCCCTCTTCACTCATTCTTCGTTTTTCTTCCCTTCTTTTGCCACTCATTCTAGATTGGCATACTTTAATGACTCCCCCGTTCCCACCAAATTTTGTGTTCCCGAAGGATTCCCTGCTTCACACCAGCCAGTGGTATGTCACTGAATACTCAATAGAATCAAAGCGGTGGGAGAATCCCAGAAGAGGAGGTCTGTGCCTGGATCTGTGTTCTGAACTCCCTCTGTCCAATTTCCATTTGTTTTGAATGCCAGCTCCAGTTTCCATTCTGGTTTTCTGGGATCTCAGAGCTCTATAAGGATACTAATGAAATTACTTGAACCATGTCCAATACTTCAAAAAAGCCTAGAAGACATATATATATATATATATATACTTTTTTTTTTAAATTTATTTATTTTTGGCTACGCTGGGTCTTCATTGCGGCGTGTGGGCTCTTTAGTTGTGGCCCACGGGCTCCAGAGCATGAGGGCTCAGTAATTGTGGCCTGTGGGCTTAGTTGCCCCACAGCATGTGGGATCTTATTTCCCCCACCAGGGATCAAACCCACATCCCCTGCATTGGAAGGTGGATTCTTAACCACTGGACCACCAGGGAAGTCTAAAGACATTGTGTATTTATTCACAATAAAGCCTGAACAGATTGACTAAGTAATGCAAAGCTTCTTTATTCTTGGGGGGAGCAGGGGGTTGGAAGATGGGGGAGATTATGCCACACTAACTCATTGTAAAGACTGTATCTTCACAGTAAGAAGTTCTGGTTGGTTGTGTGTGTTGTCTATAGGGTAGAGAAAGTCTGTTGGAAAGAATGTGGGTATGGAGGTAAGGCCAATCAGAGTTTAGTCTCTAGGGAGTTCCCTGGTGGCCTAGTGGTTAGGATTCCAGGCTTTCACTGTCATGGCCCAGGTTCAGTCCCTGGTCAGGGAACTGAGATCCCACAAGCCGTGCAGTATGGCCAAAAAAAATTTGAGTTTCTAGCAATAAGACTTGAGCTATTTATTTAATATCTCTGAACCTCAGTTTACTCATCTGTAAAATGGGGCTGTTCATTTCTATTTTTCAGACTCCTTGAGGATTTTAGATGATCTATGTAAAGCACTCATTAATACAATTCTTGGTACATAATAAATAGTTAATGTATTTTCTTTATGAATGTGATTTATTTAGTAGTTAAAAATCTTTCAAAGCATATAGCTTTGGGGGAAAAAATGAGATCACTGACAGAAGAGGAGGGGAAGCACTCATATAACATAGTTCTACATGGCCACACAGATCCCTTAAGAACTCCTGCCAAGTCCTGAGGGCTCTGATTAGGGGATATACAAGGAGGTCACACATCCTTTGTGTTAATCAACAGATCCTGTCTTGAGGGGGATACTCAGTTGTTACCTTAGCAACATTTCCTTAAGCCCACCTGTTTGTCTGCTGGATTCCTATGTGATTTTGACATAGCTCTGGTGATGAGCTTCAAGAAGTACCAGGTCTGCTCATGGCTATCTAACTGTAGCCAGGGGTTTTAGGTGGGAAGACAAAGGAATGGAGTGCCTTGGGAAGATGGATAAAAGATGAAGTTTCAGGAAGAGATGAGGATCATCATAGCTTAGTTTGCACCCCTTGAAAATAGGGCAGTAGAATATATTTCTTGAAAAGAAAAGTACTATCCCAAGACCGACTCTTTCATCTCAGCCCTAAGCGACTCTTACAAAAAATGAGACTTTCTCCTGAATCTCTTACTTCTTCATCCCCCTGGGCCCTAACTCTCTCCCAGTTCATCCCTCTCTGTCTGCACTCCCAGGATAGGGAGATCAATTGCCTCTTTCCTATAATGGGATTCGGTTTACAGGTAGAAGCTATCTAGCATTTTCTAGGACTCTTGTCCCAGGCCCCTGCTAAGTTTCACTTGGTACAGCATCTGCACAAAGATGAACTATAGAATCCAGCTTTTAAGCTTGGTGTTTCTGTTGAGCAGACCAAATGACTTTGGAATATCCTGGTTTAAGCTGAATTTATCCCTTGTTATTTTAAAAGCTATAACAAGTTGTTTTTTAAAATGTTTTCAGTCAGCACATCTTTACTTATTGTCCTTAAGACCCGAGGCTACTTGAAGAAGGATTTAATTTCCAAAGTCTGATAAGTAAACAAAAGTTTCCCAATAACATCTTCAGGCAAGCACCAAAAGACCTCATTTTTTGCCACAGTGCTTGGTTGGCTCCCCCATAATTGTCCATTAGTATTGGGCTCAACCAAACCTTGCATAATCACATAAAAAATATACCTTCGGGCTTCCCTGGTGGCACAGTGGTTGAGAGTCCGCCTGCCGATGCAGGGGACACGGGTTCGTGCCCCGGTCCGGGAAGATCCCACATGCCACGGAGCGGCTAGGCCCGTGAGCCATGGCCACTGAGCCTGCGCGTCCGGAGCCTGTGCTCCGCAACGGGAGAGGCCACAACAGTGAGAGGCCCACGTACCGCAAAAAAAAAAAAAAAAAAATATGAATATATATATATATATATATATATATATATAACTTCAAACATAGTTACTTACTAATTGATTTTTTCTTCTTCTTCTTAATTACCATGTTTAGCAAAAAGCAAAAGTAAAACAGGTTTTAAATGTGGTATTATCTGACTAGACCCTAAGCACATAAAATCAAACAGACTATATTGGGGGTTCATATGTTAACTATGGTCGGGAAATGGTTATTCACTGTTCTCCCAAGAGTTTGAAAACATCCAGAAGGGACTGGTTAGGTAAGCAGAGGCTCACATGCATGGCTTCAGCTCTGTGGGAATGTCTAAGCTTTAAAATTAACTCCAGAATCCCACTAAATGTGATATTCCCTGATGCTGAGCTTTGTCTCTGATACCTTCTTTTGTCTTGATCCTCTGTAGCTGTGGACTGAGACTCCCGAAATTCACCCTAGTCTTTCTTCCTACTTGTGACCAGGAAAAAAGTTGGGAAATAGGGTTGTGTTAGTCAAGATAGGCTAATTGTTATAACAAATGACTTCAATATAATGGTTTGGCCCAATAAAAGTATATCGTTCTTGTCATAGTACAATATAGATTGGGAGGGGTGGGGATGTATGGAATGTAGAGGTCAAGCCTATGTAGTATTTCACGGTCTTCTTCCAAGACATGCTCTAGCTTCCTCTAGGTTTTCAGAATCCTCTCCATTCAGCCAGTGGGTGGGGAAAGAGCCTGCCGTGTATTGCACAGGAGGCTTTTCATGCACCAGACCTAGAACTGGCACCCATCACTTCCATCCACATCCTATTAGCCAGAACTCTGGCACATGGCTCTGCCCAACTTCAAGAGAGGCTAGGAAGTTTAGTCTAGCTGTGTGCTGAGCTCATAGCAGTTTCTGCCACAAGGGGAGACAGACAGCTCCTCAGGGCAGGCCAATGGTTCCATGCTTGTATATCATCAAAGGTCTGCAAAATAAGTGTACTGTCCTATTTTTAGGTCACTTAATGCCTATATCTACCATTAACATCTTGGTCAGTTCCTAGAAAAAGTCCACCTGTCAAGATCAGCATCAACCTTGGTACCACCACAAATCAGTCCACACTGCAAACTTACTTGTTTATATTTAGGTCTTCCCAGGGTTTCAAGATCCCTGGGCCAAGCCCATACAGAGGTTCTCATTGGAAGTTGCTTATGCACTTGCGCTTTGTTCTGCTCATCAGATGGTTCCCATGACAAAGTCTGGCAAGTAGTCCATTGGAAGCCATTTGTAATGTCTAATCCAAACTTTGTCACGTGGGACCTATGAGGAGAACAAATGTGTTATAAACATTTGAAAAAGTGTCTCCATACCTCTTCAAAAACTATGAAAAACATGTTTTTGTCTCTTCTCAATCAGTGTATTTTTCAGTTGTCACGACTCTGTAATTGTCTGCACTCTTGCTTCCTGCTTCTCTCATTAACCAATTTACAAAGACTATTTCATAGTGCAACCATTTTGGAGACATCCATTTCTCCTCATTTACTCACAGGCAACTATTGCCATCGAGATTTTAGTTTCCTCCAAAAATGTTTGTTCATCTTTCTTTTTTTAAAATAAATTTATTTATTTTATTTTATTTTATTTTTAGTTTTGGCTGTGTTGGGTCTTCGTTGCTGCATGCGGGCTTTCTCTAGTTGCAGTGAGCGGGGTCTACTCTTCGTTGTGGTGCGCGGGCTTCCCATTGCAGCGGCTTCTCTTGTTGCGGAGCACAGGCTCTAGGTGTACGGGCTTCTGTAGTTGCGGCTTGCAGGCTCTAGAGCACAGGCTCAGTAGTTGTGGCACACGGGCTTAGTTGCTCCGTGACATGTGGGATCCTCCCGGACCAGGGCTCGAACCCGTGTCCCCTGCATTGGCAGGCGGATTCTTAACCACTGCACCACCAGGGAAGACCTGTTCATCTTTATTTTTTTTTTTTGCGCAGTACGTGGACCTCTCACTGTTGTGGCCTCTCCCGTTGCGGAGCACAGGCTCCGGACACGCAGGCTCAGTGGCCATGGCTCACGGGCCCAGCCGTTCCATGGCATGTGGGATCCTCCCGGACTGGGGCATGAACCCGTGTACCCTGCATCGGCAGGCGGACTCTCAGCCACTGCGCCACCAGGGAAGCCCTATCTTTTTATATAAAGAGGATGATGACATAGATTGTACAAGGTAATGATGGTAAAGTCCTGATTCTGTTCTGCTTTTCTAGTTGTAGTGTAAGTTTTCACCACCCCATCGACAATTTCCTCTTGCAATGTAAGACATGCACTTATTATATGGCTCATGGGATTAAGGGTGCAGTCTTCATTCATTTATTTATCCATTCATTCTTTCTGAAATAATTACTGAGTACCTACTGTGTGCCAGATAGTGTGCTAGATGCTGGAGTCAGAGCAAAGAACAATATGTATAAGGTCCCTACTCTCACGGAGCTTATGCAAGAGACAGACTCTAAGTAAATAATAATGCAAAATATTAATTATAATTGTAACATTTGTATGGAAAGCTTATTTTCCTTTTAGCATTATGGATAATCTTGAATCACCAATAATTTTTGTTTGTTTTTTTTTAAACTGAAGTCTTTGTTCCTCTGTAAAAACCCACTTATTTTCCTTAGGGTAACGGTCATTCATTCACTGATAATATTCATCAATTCATTAAATATTATTGTAAAACTACTATTTACCAGGTACTATGCTAAGATTTCCAAGTACAAAAATGAAAAGACAATATCCTTGCCCTCAAGGCTCATAGTCCAGACTGACATGCAAATCACACAGTACATTATGTTAATTGTCATAATGGGGAAATGGGAAAAGTGCAGTGAGGCATAGGAAGAGGAGGACCTAGATCTGCCTACATAGGTCAGAGAAGACTTCACAAAGGAGGTAGCACTTGGACTGAGGTTTAAGGGTGAATAAGACTTTGCTAAGAAGACAAATCAAGGAAGGTCATGAGATGGCTAGTTGACCATCAGAGACTCATGCTCTCCTTCCATAGCATCAACTTTTTCTGCGAATTGGCCCAACCAATTTCCAATCCCCTATACATCTAGGTGGAACTAGGTGATCCGTTCTCATTAATGGGATGTGAGCAGAAGTGATGTACATCATTTCTAGACCAGGTTAAGAAGTAGGTATGCCTTTGACTTCCCTGGTGGTGCACTGGTTAAGAATCCGCCTGCCAATGCAGGGGACACGGGTTCGAGCCCTGGTCCTGGAAGATCCCACATGCTGCAAAGCAACTAAGCCTGTGTGCCACAACTACTGAGCCTGCGCTCTAGAGCCCGCGAGCCACAACTACTGAAGCTCACGCACTGAGAGCCCGTGCTCCACAACAAGAGAAGCCACCACAATGAGAAGCCTGTGCACCGCAATGAAGAGTAGACCCCGCTCACCGCAACTAGAGAAAGCCTGCACATAGCAACGAAGACCCAACGCAGCCAAAAAAAAGAAGTAGGTGTGCCTTTTCTTCCTTCTCTTTCCCAGCTGTTAGCTCTGGAAATAAAGGACTCTAAAGCTTAGAGAATGGCAGAGCTGCAAAATAGAAGGACCCTGGGTGGAAGGCAGCTTGCCAGACTGATCTGTTATATGACTAAGAAATAACATTCTAGCGCTTTAATGTACTGATATTATATAACTCGCTTGTTACAACAGTGAGCTCTACCTTAATTAATGTAAGGCAGTTCAAGCAAAGTGAACATTATGTGCAAAGGCTTACTGATGTAAGGTCTAGCACAGAGTACATACTCAGTATTTGAAATTGCAGGAAAAGTGTTATGGGGGAGTACAAATAGTCCATTATAGCCAGAGTATAAAATACATGATTGGTGGGAGTGAGAGGAGGGTGGCAAAATAGATAGGCATGGGTTGATCTCAAAGAACCTTGAATGTCACGCTGAAGAATTCAGGTTTAATCTTGTGATAGGAAAGCCAATGAAGAACATTTAAAAGGTGAGAGGCAAGATCTCTGAGAAACACAACACCCAAGAAGCTGCTTTAATTTTCTTTAAATGTAAGATGCGAATCCAAGGATGAAAGATAGGATTTCAGAACCAGAAGACATCATGGTTTAGTCAAACCTCATTTAACAAATGAGGAAAGTGAGGTCCAGAGAAGTTAAGTACCTTTGCCAAGGTCACCCAGCTAAAATTGGGCAGAGCTGGGGACTAGAAGGCTAGTCTCTTATTGCCAGCCCTACAGCATTGCTCTTTCCACTGTGCCACAGTGCTTCAAAGCAGTTGAGACCAGCTGGTGTGCCTGTGTTTTCAGTTCCCTAATGAAGACATTGGGGATTTGGAGGCAGGGTATTTACCATGGAAGGTTGTCTTCTCTGTAATTCCTTATCTGGCTTGAACCACTATTTTGGACAAGGTCCATTTTTCAGCATCAGATTTCCCTAGAGGACAATTGGGAATGTGCTTAGTGGCCTGTAGGGTGCCCTTGCACTTTCTGAGCTTTTTGCGGGGAGGAGGAGAAGAAGGTAGCAGTGGTTTGAGCTCCTGGAAATGTTCCTGGTCCCTAGGCATCTGGGGAGTTGTTGGCCCTCTCAGTGACTGTGGTTTAGCCAGCCAGCTGACTGTCCTTCAGGGGTCACATCAAAACATCTTCGTCAGCTTGTCTCTTTAAAAGGTCAGCCCCTACGGCTGGCACTTTAATATCATTTTCTGTTCATCAGTTCATTACCTCTGGTTTTCATATATTGTTAAGCTGATTCATTATCATTATTTTTACTCCTTGTGCCACCCAGAGCCATATGACATACATTTGCTTTTTAATAGCAAGTGGGGGCAAAAGGACAACTGTGCTGAGGCCAGTCTCAGGAAAGCATGACATGTGGCCTGACTTAAGGAGGACTGGGTAATATTGAATTATTTTACAACTGAGGAAGCCAGAGCACAGGCTGGGGGGCAGGGGAGGTCATTTATCCAAAAGTCCCCAAGAAATCTGGGGAAAAATACATTTCTTGATGTTTTTTTGTCTAGCATTTTATAATCTCCTCACTCCTTATCCTTTGGATGTATCATGGTTTTCTCCCTTGCATGCTGCTCAGTTGATAGGGCAGATGGTTGGGATGAAGTATTAACAAAGATGAGATTGCTGCCTCAGTCCCTGAGGAGTGCCTTGGTGGCACCCAAAGACAACGTCTAATGCAGTGGAAAGTGCTTGGGCTTTGAAGTCAAAGAGACATCAGCCACTCTCTAACTGTGAGACTTTGGGCAAGTTCTTAACATCTCTGAGCCTCAGTTTCCTTTTATGTGAAATGGGAAAATAATGCAAACTATGAAGGTGGTTGTAGGGATTAAATGAATGAACATACATAAAGCTTCTGTCTTGGTGCTGGGCACACAGTTGGCTCTTAACAACTGTTATTTCCTTTTCAGGTCTCTGAGAAGTTCCTATTCTTTTCCTCAATCCCCATCCTGGTTTCTGGTCAAGATGTGAAATGAAACAAAAGAGTGAGCAGATGCAGACCGAAATACCACGTTGATTGCTGATAAAGTCTGTTTATTGTGAGAGATACTAAATACTAAATGAGTTTCAGAATTAGGTTGACTTGTTCACCCAGTCACAAGTAACATTTGACCAGGACAGGACTTCTCACGCTGGGAGGAGTGGGAGTAGGAAGGGGACCCTGCTCCCAGAGGAGCAGACCAAGGTGACACCCTCACTGTGGGCAGGTGATACCTAAGTGGAAGAAAGAAGGAGCTAAGCTGAGCCTGCCCTGTGTACTTCTCAATTCTCAAAGCAGATTAAGCCCCTCCGCTAAGGCAGAGGAATAAGGGAAGTAGACAGACGCCAGAAGTGCCAAACGCCCACAAAGAAGGAAACCTCAGAAGCATCTCCCTTCTCTTGTCCCCCTCCTCTCACTTTGTGCTGCTACTTTTTAGCCACCCTGCTCATGAAGGACACAGCTGTCGGTACTGTGGGTAGCCTCAGAATACAAAAGGTTGGGAGAAAGGTGTGGGAGAGGGAGGGAGAGGTTGTGTTGAGTCATTAGTAGAGAAAGAGGGGTGGCCACATAAATCCAGAAAGAAAAGTCTAAGTTCAGAGTCAGGAGTTAGAGGTCTGAAGGGAGGGAGGATCAGTGTTCAGAGACCTGAACTAGACAGGAGGGCACTGCAGGAGCATAATCAGAATTTCTAGGGGTGGGGCAACACACTATGGCCAGATCCCAAGAGGACAAGTAGGCATCAGGGTTCCCACATATCTGACCTCTGAGTCCTGGAACCACATCTCCTGGAGATGACTCTCAATCCTAGCATTGGGTTATATACCCTCTACCTCAATTTTTTTTGTTTTTTTTTTTGTGGTACGTGGGCCTCTCACTGTTGTGGCCTCTCCCGTTGCGGAGCATAGGCTCCGGACGCACAGGCTCAGCGGCCATGGCTCACGGGCCCAGCCGCTCTGCAGCATGTGGGATCTTCCCAGACCAGGGCACGAACCCGTGACCCATGCATCGGCAGGCGGACTCTCAACCACTGCGCCACCAGGGAAGCCCTACCTCAATTTTTAATCTTTAAAATATAAGCATATCTTGTGATTATAAAACTAATACATGCTCACTTTGGAAAATTCAGAAATACAGAGAGGTATAAAGAAAAAACCAAAAATAACCCCAAATCTCATCACAAAGAAAAACTAATATTAACTTTAGCTATATTTCTATTCAGTCTTTCTTCTATGCATATTGTTATACAGATAAGGTGATTTTATCTATACTTGTTAAATTTGCATGCAGAATTTTTAACTTAATATTATAATATAATCATTTCCCCATGTCATTAAAAGTTCTCAGTAATTAACATCATTTAAAATGACATTTTCCCTGGTTTTAAGCACATCTGGATCAATCTCTACCAATTTATGAAAATCCCGTGGGTCTGGAGGAATCTTCTAAATGTTTACCTTCTTTTGGGTTGGTGAATAGGGCATTCTCCAAGGCCAGGGCTCTATGGGGCCTGTGCATGGTAACTACTACACGGTACTTGATCTTCTGGAGAGTCCTCATATTTCTAGCAATTGATGACATGATTGATCAGAAGATGCCACCCTGCAAAATACAATAATTCAAAGCATAGGCCTTTCTTATACAACACATCATTGTTACACACTAAAAAGAACCACTGTATTATTTTGCTATGGCTGTCATAACAAAATACCACAGACTGGGTGGTTTAAACAACAGAAATTTATTTTCTCACAGTGCTGGAGGCTAAAAGTCCAAGATCAAGGTGTCAGCAGGTCTGGTTTCTCTGAGGCCTCTCTCCTTAGCATGCATGTGGCTGCCTTCTTGCTGTGTCCTCAGATGTTCTTTTCTCTGGGCATGGCTGATCCTGGTGTCTCGCTGGGTATATTGAATTAGGGCCCACCTTAAAGACCTCATTTTAACTTAACCTCTTTAAAGACCTTATCTACAATATATAGTCTTTCATGAACAGCTTCTTTCACTTAGCATGATGTTTTCAAGGTTCATCCATGTTGTAGCATACATCAGTACTTCATTCTTTTTCATGGCTGAAAATATTCCATTGTATGGATATACCACATTTTGTTTATCCATTCATCAACTCATGGACATGGGTTGTCTCCACTTTTAACCACTGTAAATAATACTGCTATGAATGTTCATGTATAAGCTTTTGTGTGTGGAGGTATGTTTTCATTTCTCTTGAGTAGATGCCTAGGAGTGGAAATGATGAGTATTATGGTAATTCCATGTTTAGAATTTTGAGAAACTACCAAACTATTTTCCAAAGTTTTACATGCGTCATTTTACATGCCCACCAACAATATATGAGGGTTCCAATTTCTCTATATCCTTACCAACACCTGTTATTGTCTGTTTTTATTATAGCCATCCTTGTGGGTATGAAGAGGTATCTCATCGTGGCTTTGACTTGCATTTCCCTAATGACTAGTGATGTTGAGTATCTCTTCTTGTGCATATTGGCAATTTGTACAAATTTTTTTGAGGAATGTTTATTCAAATTCCTTGCCCATGATTTAACTGCGTTGTCTTTTTATTATTGAGTCGTAATATCTTTTTATATATTCTGGATATAAGTTCCTTGTCAGTATACAATTTGCAAAGATTTTCTCCCATTCTGTGGGTAGTCTTCTTACTTTCTTGATGGTGTCCTGTGAAGCACAAACGTTTTTAATTTTTTTTTTTTTTTGCGGTACGCGGGCCTCTCACCGCTGTGGCCTCTCCCGTTGCAGAGCACAGGCTCTGGACGCGCAGGCTCAGCGGCCACGGCCCACGGGCCCAGCCGCTCCGCGACATGTGGGATCTTCCCGGACCAGGGCACGAACCCGTGTCCCCTGCATCGGCAGGCGGACTCTCAACCAGTGCGCCACCAGGGAAGCCCCAAAAGTTTTTAATTTTAAAGTCCAATTTATCTATGTTTTTCTTTTGTCACATCTGCTTTTGGCAACATATCTAAGAAACCATTGCCATATCCAAGGTCATAAACATTTACTATGTTTTCTCCTAGGAGTTTTGTAGTTTAGCTCTTAATTTAGGTCTATGATCCACTTTGAGTTAATTTATTTGTATGGTGTAAGTTGTAGCCCAACTTCATTCTTTTGCATGTGGATAGCCAGTTGTCTCAGCACCATTTATTGAAAAAACTACTCTTTCCCTATTGAATTGTCTTGGGTCCCTTGTCAAAAAATCAACTGACCATATACCTGAGGGTTTACTTCTGGACACTCAATTCTATTCCAATGGTCTACACATGTATCCTTATGCCTTAGACCTTGATTATTGTAGTTTCATTGTAGATTATGAAATCAGGAAATGAGCATCTTCCAAATTTGTTCTTCCTCTTCAAAAGTGTTTTGGTTATTCTGGGTTACATTTCCATATAAAATGTAGCATCAGCTTGTCAATTTATGCAAAAAAGAAAGATAGAAAGAGCGATAGGATCTGGATAGGATTGCCTTGAATTTCATTTTCTGAATTTTCATTGCTAGTGTATAGAAATACAACTGATTTTTGTATATTGCTTTTATATCCTGCCACATTTCTGAACTCGTTTTATCTTATTTTCTTAATCACGATGCTTTACTGCTTACTCTGTGTGTTAGATATTATAGAAAATACAAAAATTAACAAGATATGGTCCCTGTTCTGAAGAAGCTTATAGCCTAATTCAAGAAATAAGACATAAACCTACTGAGTGAATAATAGCCTGTTTCAGCAATGTACAGGAAAGTACAGAATTGCCAAGTGAACACTACAGATAATTAGAGCTCTAGCAAAGTTCAGGGGGTAGAGAGACAATTAAAAGTTGGAGAGGTCTGGAAAAAACAGAGTAGAAAGGATCTGAAGGCTCACTGATATGAGCCATTCCCATAAACAAACTTTTAATTTCAGTAACCCCAAAAATCTCAAGAGATCCTTCTGCTATGGATGACCCTCTGAGTTACCAGTGGAACATATATGCACTATCCAGATTTAATAAATTATAACAACTTGCCATATTTGCTTAAATTAAACTATAAATACAGTAAGTCCCCTACATACGAACCTTCAAGTTGCGAACTTTCAAAGACGCGATCACGCATTCACATGTCCGATCACGTAAGTTAGTTCACATGTCTGGCGTACATTGTCATGTGTGTGCATCCTCTACAAGTGGTTGTGCTTTTGTGTACTTTACTGTACAGTATTGTATAGTGTACAGTAGTACAATATCTTTATTTCAAGCTCAGGATGTCCGGGAGCAAGCGTAAAAGCAGCAGTGATGTAGCTCGTACTGCTAAGAAGCGTCAGAAATTGGAGGCCCAGAGAAAGGATGAAGAGAGACAAGAGGAAGAAGAAGTAACTGAAGAACTGAAGAGATTCATGGCACAGGAAATGGCAAGGGTCTTTATTTGAGGAGGCAATGTTAATTTTTGAGGCACAGGGCTGGAACGTAGAACGGGACAAGAAGGTTGAAGCAGCCGTTCAGAATGCAATCCAGTGCTACCATGTCATCTATGATGAGAAAAAAAGAGCTACGACCCAGACATCACTGGATTGTTTTTTCAAGAGAGTAGAAAGAATTGAATCCAGCAAGGAACCAGAACCTGTGCCATCAACGTCAGGAGTGAGTGAAATTGCAGCTTGCCCTCCGTCTCCTATTGCTGACGATCCTTCAGCTCTGCCATCTCCCCCCTCCTCTCCCTCCTCCAGTCAGTAAGTCTCCTTGCCTGTTCACTCGATGCCAGCCCGTGTGCCAGCTGTTGTACTATACTACTGTACTTTTCAAGGTACTGTACTATAAGGTTAAAAATGTTTTCTATATTTTTTGTGGTTTTTTAATGTATTATTTGTGTGAAAAGTATTATAAACCTATGACAGTACAGTACTATATAGCCAATTGTGTTAGTTGAGTACCTAGGCTAACTTTGTTGGGTTTACGAACAAATTGGACTTACAAACACGCTCTTGAAACGGAACTCGTTCATATGTAGGGGACTGTTGGTAAAACATTTTAGTTACAAAAAAAGGCCCTTCCATCCCATCTTTCCTCAGAGATAACCAATCTCTTGAAGATGGTGGAAATCCTTCCCACATATGCTTTTATATTTTTACTAGACAATATGTTTTAGATGTTTGAACATGTATATAAATAGTGTACGTATTTTTCTGAAACTTTTTTTTTCAACATCATGTTTTTAAGATTTATCCAAGTGACACTTGTAGAGCTAGTCCATTCTATAATATAGTAATAGTATACTATATAGTTCTGCAATAGACCAATAGCATAAATATTCTAGAATCTATTCTATGGATGGATATTTGATATGTCTAGTCCTTTGCTATTTCAAATCATGATGTAATTAATATTCTGGTGTATGCTTCCTTGGGCGCATGTTTGAGAGTTCTGCTAGGGAATATATCTAGAACAGAAATTGTTAGGGAATAGAATGTGCACATTCTCAACTTTACTAGATTGCTCTCTACTCTCTGCAGTAGCTGAACTATTTTTTACTCCCATCAATGATATGTGAGAATTTCTCTCATCCTATATTCTAACCAACACTGTCAAGTTTTTAAAAAAATATACATATCTGGGTCCTATTTTCATAGACCCTGTTAGGGTAGCTCTGGAGTGTGGTTTGAAACAGGCCACAGGTGATACTGAAACACAAATGAATGGGGATTATGAATGAATTCATATCATTGAGATCATCAGCTCGTATGTATGTATACACAATCTAATACATTGGTATGTGAGTTGGTATGGTGAAAGTGCCCTAGCACTTTGTTGGTAACATCTATGTTGGCTGCATTTAGATCCTTGAAGATAGGTAGAGAAGTACCAACCGCCTAACATACCTTGCAGATGCGTTTTGAATCAAACAGGGGTACGTGGTTGACCAGTCCACTGGCTGGTACTTAACCTAAAGTCCCACCTTTGCCAGCTGGGCTGATGGGGGACAATGCTGGCTTTCTGGGAGCTGTCTTGCCTCTTCCTAGGTGCATGGCTGGGTGCCAGTAGTCGGGACTTGCCTACGTTCCATTGCTTAGGGCAGGGTGTGTGTCAGCGACGTCTGCCAGCCCGCTGGGTGGTGTCACTGTATGGAGCACTTGTGGCTTTTTCAAAGCCCTGAGGAATCTGAGAAGCAAGTGAGGGAATGCTGCATGAAAACAAAAGGCAGTGGAAAGAGTGACCAGCCAGCAGGCTCCAGCAGGCTAGAACGCTCTGTCCTTGTTATTACTGCTTCATGAAAATGCCGCCAGCTTCCTGGCAAGGTCTGGAAGGTGAAGGGCTTCTTGAGGAAACAAGGACAAGCGATGTGTACTTCTGGTTGCCCAGCTTCCTAATTTTCCAGTGGAAGCTGCAGGGTGAGGACGAGGTCTCAGAGGCCCAGCAGGGCTGGGCTGGGAGAGAAGTTGGGCCATGCCCCAGACAGAGCTGTTCCTCAAGGAGCCATCTGAAGGTCAGCCTAGGGGAGGACAAAGGGCTTCAGCCATAATCCCCATTCAAGGGGGCTTTGCCACAAAGAAGTGCCTCCTGGTTTGGGGCAGGGAGTGCTCTCATTCCTCACCTGCTTTCC